TCTAAAATGCTGAATAGCTTGGCGAATAGTACAGAAACTTTACATGAAAATGAACTAATATTAGATGAACGCCTAAAAAGAATTGAACGAATAGTGAAATACATAGCTACCAAAGAAAATAATTCCATTTATAATACATATATTTTAGGCATGTATAATATGTTTATTAGTAACTTTCGTAGCATTTACCTTAAACTTAGTGTTTAGGCCAAATAATTAACATTTAAAATTTGCATTCAACACTCGTGTCTTCCCGCTGATTTTGTAAAGGTCACCGTCGCCCCACTCCCGTGTGAGTCGCTCGGCAGAGGGCGCGAGCGCAGGTCGCGAGTGTGAGGTCAGTAGCTTGACAGCAGCGGTGCTGTCGATTAGCGTATTTTGTGAGCACTGCATCGGTTTCGCGCGGCCAGGTTTTTGGTTTTGATGGTCTAGAATTTGAGTATTTGTGCGCGTTTAATTTACTATTGAATTTGGGTTTCGTGTAGACCGCCTCGAATAAGTTTATCTAAGTTGTACGTTTCGAGTCTTACATTCGAGTCGTTACATTCCATTTCGAGGGCGTGGCCCGGTTAATTGTTTTCGGAAGTTATTGTTGAATTGTACCGTCGCGATAAGTGCCTTTTGTGTGTTGACTATGTAGTTAGTTTGCGTGTCAGCTAGACTGATTTTGAGTTCTTATTGCGGGCGTAGTATTTAATATCGTACGAAGGAATTTAGTTTGTTGTTTGGAACGCAGAACTTTGTGACTCGAGAAGAGATCGAGTTCGTTCCCTGTTTGTAATTTGGTGCTAAATGAACCCGGAACATTGAATATTGAACTTTGAACGACTGTGACCCTTACTTGTGTCGGGTGTCACGTGTTTGATTTCGATGAACGTTGATTTTAGTTGAGTTTGAAGTTAATTAAATGTACAATAAAGTTGATAAACTGAAATAGTGAAAGAAGTCAGCAGTCTTCCATTGGTGACGTACGCTGGAGTGATACCACATCGTGGGGCAGCATCGGACGAGGCCGCTGCCCGATCATCTCAGTTAGGTCAGGTCACACGTACACACCTTCTAACACACTACTTACATGCACCTACCTACCGCCTTACCGAGCCTTGGGGTCAGTCTCAGCTTCAGAACCAGGTGCGTTCTTATTAATTACCTAGCCTTATATCTATTGTGTAGAATAATAAGTCTCCATAGGCCGTTGGGCCCCACCCTTAGTTGTCCGTCGATTGGACTACTGATGGGCCCTAGTCCAGTCAACCTTTGTTGGGGCAGCTAGGGGCGTGTACACTTAGTGAAATAGAAACCGCTTTAGCTTTTAGTAAAGTTTCAGTATTACACCAATCAATTATTAATTCATCTGACCTGTTAGTGATACTTAATGATATAGCCAAAGTTGATAACCTAGTATACCCTGTAAATGTAGAGAATTTAATAAAGATAGAAAGAACTATTGTTATAAAAGCTTACATGAAAGGAAACCAGATTACGTACTTGATGGAAGTTCCACTTACTAATAGTTTTCATTACAATTATTACAAATTATAGGTACCCATTACCTGTATTCGATGCACTTAGAAACAGAACGTCTCTAATAATTCCCAAGTATCCTTACATTTTGGTGAAAGGTTCACAATACTTACCGGTCTCTCGGCCGTGCACCGAAATAGCGGCAGATGAGTTCCTGTGTAAGAGCTCCAATATGGTATCCTATCCTAGAAACACATGTGCTGAACAACTGATAAAATTCCAAAACAATCTTACACTATGTGAACCTCGGTTCGTTGACCTTGAGGATGTCAAAATCCAGTCTATCGGCCCTGTAAATTGGATCATATACGCCAACCATAAAATAATATTAACAAACAAATGCCAAGATGACATAAACAAAGAATCACTTTTGGACACATACATTATAAAAATTAGTGAGGATTGTGAGACCTTCATAGAAAACTATAAATTGTTGCACCGCCTATACTTCGCTAAGGAATTGGGCTATAGAGTGACCCCAGTGATAAGCTTACCAAGACTGGATCACCTGAACCTGACGGATACTGAAACAGTTAACATGAAAGGCTTAAGCCTTAGACGACCTGAAACATCTAGCATATGTATTGAATCAAAATCTTAAGTTCAGTGGCAGTGAACATAGTGATCAAAGTGATAACAGTGTGATAAGGGTTAAAGGTGTAAGCTTAGCTACTTTATCACTGTATGTCATTTTACCTATTGTTGTAATATTTAGTGTTTTAAGAAAATGTAAAAGTAATTTAGTTAACAGATGGCGGAATCATCGGACAACAGCTGAAAACACTAAAGCCGATAATTCCGCTCTTAGAGAGGAAGGAGTAATGCAACCACAAGACCATAGGGTTGTTAGGGTTTGTACCTAGAGGGGCTGCATAAGCATTAGGCAGTATCCAGTAACTGTAGAGTCAGCACTTTAGGTTGCATGAGATATCAGGCAGAGCTCATGGGAGCGGAAACTTCGTTTTGACATCGACTTCTGTCAAGACGTATTAATTAAGTAATCAGAATTATAATTATTGTAATTAGAAATAAATACATTTTAAATAGTTTTTAAAAAATCATTTTACGTTCTCGTAAACTTGACTAGATTGTTTCTTTCACCCACGCCCTGGGAAATTACCTCATTGTTCCATAACTGATTGGAAGGTTTTTCAACCTCAATAGTACCAGCGTTATCGGGCCATAAATAACAATAGGATGAGCCACCGCTATGCGCCACTCAGTTACCTGAGTCCGCCTTATCGCGGCGGACAAAGCTACCCTCATTGAATTTGTCTCTACTTGTTTATGTTTAGTAAAATAACAATGTAACGACCTCTGTAAATTTTTTTTCATTTCTATTTCTCACTTCGATCTCGACAGTTGTGCATAATGGAAAATTTATTCTCTAACGTAGATTTCAAAAATTAAAAGGTGATATTAACGTGCAAACTTGAATAGTTATTTACAATAAAATTGTGTTTTTAAATGAATTGAAATGTCGTTCCGAAAAAATATCCCAGCTTAATTTTAATAAAACACGGGAAAATGTTGCGTTTATTTGTGGCTTTAACAGAGCGACGTTTTATCAATCATTTCACAATTTCAAACCTTAAAAAATCCGTTCATTAAATCTTATCGATATCGACTACCTGCTACTACGCACATCATTATGACGCTTCACAAGCCCAATGAGTGCGAGCGAGGACTGATTACGATGATTAGAGTCATTCGGGTCAAGTGTGCGCACTTTGGTAAATATTAGTTCACTACGCTACATAAAATAAAATAGTTAGAAATATAAAATACGGCTCTGAGATAAACCATATAGTAGCCTCTAAATTGAAATAAAAACAAGAATAGAAAACTTGGTGGTTTTTTTTCTGTAAGCATTTAATTACATAAAATTGAAATGCGCTCACTTGACCCACGCTGCGGGTAACTGTGCGCACCCGTACGGGGTAAGTATACGCATGTGGGGTAAGTAAGCGCATTCCTTGGATTAATCAAAATATACACAATATTCAAGAATAAAGGTTCTTTATTGTAATGCCACTTAGAAAATATTTTTATTAGTTATTAGTCTTTGCATAACAATTATTTCATAATTATAGACATATTTAAATTAAATTATAGACATTTTTAATTATTAATATTTAGAAAGTAAGATATTTTTAGTTGGGATTGTCTAATTTATTAGAAACAATATTGATTTAGGGATCATCAATACAATTATCACAAACAAAAACACCTCTCTCATATGCAGTGCATCCTCATCAGATGGCATCCTCATGTCACCAGTCTTTGCATACATGCACTGACTCCATTTTTCAGTGTTTGGCTCTATATATATATATTTGCTTACATAGAGGACAACAGTATTCTACTGTTGTAGAGGTCGAGGCCATAGAAAACTTTGTTCTTCCTCTTCAAGACGATGATGTCGATTTCGAATACAATACTTACTAATACCAATGGTACTTGCAGCAGCTCTTTTGCTCATGCTCAATGAGTGCCTTGGCTCTAGAGATTTGTTCTTCAGTGACTGATACAAGTTCAGGTCTTTTTCTTATAAAATTTCACGGCATGGTGATGAGAAACTGAAAATAACACCGAAGAGGCAAGTGTAGGCATGCGCACATTCACCCGCGCACACTTTCCTCAGAACACCAAATTGCAATTGAAAACTCATAAAATAAATTGGAAACTAAACATGATTTTTTTATATAAAATGTAGCGTAAACATATTATTATTTAAATAAAATACAACTTGCCGTTGTGAAATCGATAACGCCGATGATACATTGTTATCCATTAAACAAAAAAATTCGAATTTAAACACCATATACTGTTTTTATGAAAAAAAAAAGTTATTCAGTAACCGCCGCCACAGAAACAAGTCGCGACTGGCAGGGCACTCTGACGTCACTTTTCGACCTAAATAAAAACCTCCCCCCCGTTCCCCGTTCGTGAGATACACTCACTACGCTCACTTACCCCGAATGACTATATTGCCCGGCGACTCAGTTGATAACGCGGGCACAAAGGTTGATCGCCGGTCTGGGTATTTCACGTCTGGCGTAAACGAGATGGTTAAGCTATCTATCGGAAGTCATGTAAACTTTTTTCTGCCAACTTCCAAAAAGGAGACGATACTCAATTCGACTGTGTTTATATATATTGAACCGATTTCGATTAATCTTTTTTTATTTGAAAGCTGGTACTTCTCGTGTGGTCCCATATGAATTTGATCAAGGTCAGACCAACAGTTTTTAGTTATTCTTAATAACTTACATTGAAGTCGGCTGTACAAAATTTTTAATTTTATATTAGGTTCCTTACCATTACCTTCCATACCTTATACATTACGTAATCTTTATATTGCTTTATTGCTTTTACATATATTGTTTTCTTATGTTTACACATTAAGGCTAAATTATAACAAAGGCGATGAAAAGTTCTAAAATGTTAAATATTTTGAATTTCATAAGGCATACCTCATTGGAATATTGCTTCCCTGTTGTGCAGATTGTGTTTGCGTCACATATTGCCTTAATCTCTCCTCATAAAGTTTTCTTTGCTTTTCTAAAGCATTTTCTAAGACAGCTTGAGTTTGAGCCTCCCTGTAAAAGGTAAAAACTTAAACTTGACTAAAAGGAAATGGTATGTACTATTTAGATATCTCCTTCTACACTAGTCATAACGTAAACATTGCGGAAAAATACCCAATGTATATTTTTTGCCATTTTGTCATTTTCGAGATGCTGATGATATGCAAGTTTTGGAAATATTAATACGGATGTAATTTTCGTCATTTTTCGGGGCACTGATAAATAAACTTATTTCGATTTTTAAATCAAAGCACATGGTTTTTTTTTCTTCAAGTTATTGATCATCATTTTCATCATTACAATTCTTCACAAATCCAATGATGGACGTAGGCCTCCCCTCCCCTTATAGTTTCTACGCTTGGTAAGCGGGTTGACAAGCGCAATGTATTATTTTGAGCTGATATCAGAAATACGCTGCTGCCCATTTGTCTTCTGTTTCATTTACCACTATCGTTCACTTACGCTACTACGCGGCTACGATACGACAGGTATAAACTTTTCTGGTTATGTGTTAGATGTTTCAGATACAGATTTAAAAAAACTTGCGTGAGTGTTGTGAAACACTCGGTTGGAACGAAGTTCCTTTCGTAGTATTTTTAATTTTTTTTAAACACTAGTTTACTAAACATTACTAATATTCCCTTAAACCACTTGTGGTAAGCTTATAATGCTTGTGTTAGAAGTGGATCACGACAGTGGTCGAATGGCGGATTCGACACCACGATCTTTCGAGTTCGCAGTCCGGGCCTTGCCGTTAGGCTACTGATGCTTCTAATATATTATTATTGAAAAACGTATTACACTCAGCGTCACAAAAATCCCACCTCTCTGAGTTTGCGCGAAAAATGACTGTAATGGCTAGAAACGAATTATATTTATATAAATATTGGTATGTTTGAAATGGGTATTTGAATAGTTTTACATTATTAATAAAAAAAATCATGAAATCATTAAAACATTTATCATTATAGAGCGTCAAAAATAAACACTGTCAAATGCTCGTTAGTAAGGACGCTAGTTACACTACCTAAAAAGGGTATAAAAGGGTCGATCTGGATGAAATATGGGTCAGTCGTAATTTAGACTTTGCAGTGAACACACGTGAAGAAGTAACCCAAGCCGCTTAAGTGATTGCCCTATTGCAGTCGGGGATGCGGTAGTGTGACGTTGCTCGACAGTTGAACCTGTCCCGTTTTTCAATTCGACGGGTGTTCCAACGTTTTCAGCAGACTGGTGGTTATGTTAGGAAACCGGGGTCTGGAAGAAAACGGTGCACATCAGAAAGAGATGACCGTTTCATCGTTACCACATCTTTACGACACCGTTTTACAAATGCTGTTGAGTTGCAACAACAGCTTCGATCAACTCTGAGAACATCTGTGAGTGTTTCTATGATAAGAAGATGATAGACCTGCTAAAGGTCCAAAACTTACTGCACAGCATCGCAGAGATCGCCTAGAGTTTGCTCGCAATCATTGCGAGTGGACTCTAGAACAGTGGCGGACCGTACTCTTCTCTGATGAGACGAGGGTCTGTCTCTTCTGCAATGACAGACGTAGAAGGGTCTACAGAAGACAGGGGGAGAGGTTCACACAACCCTGCTTCGAAGAATCCGTCGAATACGGGGGTGGCTCGTGTATGTTTTGGGGCGGCATTTCCGTCGACGGGAAAACGGAACTTGTGTGCGTTTCCCGGACTCGGGGTGGCCGTGGGCAAGGGTCATTAAATGCTGGTCACTACATTACTGAAATCCTGGAGGAACATGTGGTCCCGTATGCTGGTTGTCGGTGATGGATTCATGTTAATGCATGATAATGCTCGTTGCTACACCGCGGCTATTGTACGGGATTATTTACAGGAGGTCGATATCCCTGTTATGCATTGGCCAGCACGAAGTCCAGGCCTTAACCCAATAGAACATCTCTGGAATGACCTAAAACGGCGCGTGCGAGCTCGAGATCCAGCTCCAACCACTCTTCAAGAGCTCCAAGATGCGGTACTTGAAGAGTGGAAACAAATACCCCAAGAAGCTGTTGCAACCCTTGTAAGGTCCATGAAAGATCGCATGGAAGCCGTTATCAAGGCAAGGGGGGGTAACACTAGGTTTTAAGAACTTTTTTTTGTATTTATTAAGTTTTTTTTAATTATTAATTTGCAAATTTGTACATACTCTGTCTTTTTCTTTAATTTCTCTTTCGTCTCGTTATAAAAGTAAAATTCAATTAAAATTCCTGAAAGCTAATGAAATTACCTTTCGAATGATACCCTCAAACCACAACATTGCCATTGGCCTGTTGTGTTAAAATAGTATTTAAATTATTTTTTTCGGATGTGCGATTTTTTTGACGCCGAGTGTATATTATTGGTTAACAAAATACAAATAAATGAATTACTAGTGTGTATTCAAATGAAATGTCCTTTAAAATAAAATAATATTTCTTTCATGGCAAGATAAGAAAAAGTGAGAGGGGGATGGATATTATTCCATCTCGCTTCGTTATAACCGCCAAGGCCGTCAACGCTACGTCAGAAGGGGCCGTGACGGAAAAATCTTACACTTCCCCCCCCCCCCCATTTGGCCCCGAATTTGGCGGATGGGGGCTTTTGCCTAGCCCCCATCCGCCAAATTCGTAACGTCCGATAAAGAACTTCGTTCCAAAAAAAAACTTGATAATACAAGCTTCGCCTGATATGTCAGTTCCTTTCTGTTTATAATAGTGGTTAAAGTATGATGCAGCCATTTTAATGGAATGGTCGATCTATAGAGCAATATTGGCTACCGGCGGACCGGAGGGCAGTAGCCATACGCAGGCGTTTCCCTCTGTCAAACTATAAGTCCACGCGATCCTATGCGTACAATAAAACAAGGTGGAACCGCACTGCTCACTACACAAGTATGACGTCAGTTACTGTTTTTCGTCGAATACGAAACAAAGTTATCTGATATATTATCTGAAATAAACTTCAAATCTCGTTGACAAAGTGCGCACATAGCTGGAACACATAGTGTCCATAGGTCTCGAAGATCTAGCAACAAAACTTGTGTGTACGCTTCTATATATCGCTTCCGTAAATGTGACTTCAGAAGTCGAAATTAAATTCATTTTTACAAATATTAGGTTCAACGCGCTTTTTTATTTACATTATAAGTTTTTTCGAAAAATTCCCACAAAATACTTGTGTTTTGTAGCGACATTGTTTCTTTATTATATTACAACCTAAAACGAAGCTAATATTTACAAAGTTTTTTGGTTCGTTTTTAGACTTCTTTTAAGAACACTAATATCACAATGCGTGCTTTAATGCTTTAAAATAAACATGGAATTAACAAGAAAAGCAGTTTTTAAATAATAATATTACACCCAAAATTTATTATTGCACGGGTTCCTCATGCCCGGGCTACACTAACGAGAAATGCCGTTAATTATCGCGATGGGCGTTGAATATAGGTGTGGCCACCACTTAACGCGATACTTCTACAACGGCATGAACAATGCCGTTTGCCGTTTGGCGATAACTCGAGTGGCGGTACATCAAAGAGATTAACGCACGAATTAACGCGTTGAAGCGGCCACACTACGGTTGTCTTATTTTGCATGGTGAGCGCAACGGGGTCGCACGTATAGCTACAATAGAGTGGAATAATGAAAAAGTTATTACGTTTTTTGAGATTCTGCAAACAGAGCCATGCTTAGGCAATGATAAAATATATTCATATAATAATAATTTACACTCATCAAATATAGAGTAGCAGCGTCAACGTTCATCTTGCTTGAAATTCAAGGAATATAAACGTAAAGTAACCATACGTCCCGTTTTGAACGGGACTGTCCCTTTTCTCGGTCACCTGTCCCGTTGTCTTCAAACAAAGCTCCGGGACGCAAAATAGTACCGTTATCCTAAACCGCGCGAAAATATAAACCTATGAAGTTCGTCAGACATGAACGGTGCGAGAGCGGGACCGACCAAAAAATAACCGAATGGTATAATTTCAGTTTTCGCAGAAATTCGTTGGGTAGAAGTATTCAAACATTTCTCACCAACAATCTCCAACATAAATTCTTTTGCATTTTAATCGAATATATTTTATGTCTACCTGGTACAAATGCTCCAGTAGAAAAAGTATTTTTCTATTAATTTTTATTTATCACAATTTGTTAAAATCGAAATAATTATAATTAATGTGATTATAATTATAGTGAACACTAATTGTATAAAGTTACAGTTTTTAAATAAATAACATAATATTTTTTTTATTGTTAACCTGCTAACTGGAGAGTATAAATGAACCCATGGCCCGTTTTGAGTTAAAATTTAAATGGTCAGTTTACTTTAACGCCATTCAACAGCATTGAAATTGAAATGATGTTGATCGTTCCAAGTGTGGCCACTCAGTTTATCGCGTTAAAATTAAGGCAATAATTGTTGCGTTTATGGGCATTGACGTTTTTCGTTACTGTGGCCACAGCATCAGAGACACAATTAATATGAAAACTCAAGTTCAAAAGTTGAAGGACAGAAGGTCAATAATAATATTTCGTAACAAGGCCAAGGCTTTGATGCAGTTTAATCCTTACATTTTGGGGGACAAGTGTTATTTTTTAATATATGGCAAAAACTGTATTTACTGCGTAGAATTTTATAATAAACAGCATGAGATTTAAAATTGCTTTATTAGAGACACATTGGCAATTTGAAATAGTTATAGAAGTATCCATTTGAAAAAGAACGAAAGAAATAACCTTATTCCTCGAATTTCACTTTGCTCACCTATACGTTTCAACATGGACCCCACTGCAGTTTTGTTCTTATTGTTACGGCATAACATTCGTTTTTGTATGACAGCGAGTGTGTGATGTTATTATATCACGAATCACCATTCCAAGCCAACGCAATGTTGCAGCGTTGCGGTTCAAAGGTACTCTGTTCGTTGTGGATCGTTATAAGAAAGAGACAATTAGGAGGGTTATGTATATCTATACATTATAAAGTAAAAAGACGTTTCCATAACCGTCTATACATTATCATGCTCATAGCTATAACAGCTTACAATCATGTATGTTACACAATTACCAACACAAAACAAATTAGAAACCGCTTGGTAGCGACCACCTCATTCCCAAGGGTTATTATTAACCACAAATTCTTTAATATTATATGTAATAACCCATTTTATACAAACTTAGTTTAATAAAGTTTTTGAACTTTAAGCAAGTTAAATTTTGTATATTTTCTGGGATTTAGTTGTGAAGGGTATGTGTAAAAAGGTTATGTACTATATATCGCTCCAAGAATGAATTACAGACTTTGTGGATTCGAGTAACTGGTACTACTAGCTTGTTTTTGTTCCTAGTATTAACAGAATGAATATCACTTATTTTGTAAAACTACTTTTATTTTTGTGTACGTACATCAAATTTTCATAAATGTATTGAGAGGCCATAGTTAATATATTAATTTCCTTAAATTATGAGCAAGAAGTGTTGCAAGATGAACCGATCTAGTCATTATTGGCATGCACATAAAGCCTCCATTTACTTTATTGGAGATCAAGTTTTTTGAGATTTATGCCATAATTGGATTTATAAAATTTCCAAGGCTCAAATTTTATTGGATCAAAAGATTTAGGAAGATCTTAACGCATTGTCAATAGAGCAGTTTTATCTATTCGGAACCAATTTGCAAGGGTCGTGTAGATGTCTATGATCTAATGATAGAGACTGATTGATACTCAAACCAAGGTTCTGTAGGTTTGAGCATCAAGGGGATTGTAAAGTCAAGTGCAATTGTTACAGACTTAAAAACTTACTCATAGAGTATTATTGTTTTTTTTTATATAGGATATGGTGGCAAACGAGCACACAGTCCACCTGATGGTAAGTGGTTGCTGTGGCCCATAGACATCTACATCTATCTTCGTTTGCGAATCAGAATGCAGATGCATTGTCACCCGTGAGGACTAAGATGGAATGCCTCTTTTCCAGTAAAAAGGGTCTCCGGTTATCTACACTCACCACACGAAACACAGCAGTGTTAAGATGCTATTTTACGCTGGTATTACGTCCTTCGTCGGTCGAGCCGACTCATTCATGCTACAACTATACTACTAATATAGCTGCAGCATGGCTCTACCACGTAATTATTTTCACCACGCATTAATTTCTGCCTGGAAGATAGGGGGAATTTACCCAAATTCATATTAAGCTTGAACTCTGAGCATTTTTCATCAATTCCAAAACTAACGTTGAGGCCTATTTTACCCATTGGTAAATGTTAATTTTTGTTCCATTTGTAAACCATATAAGGCAGCCAACCTCACAGACAACCTGACCTTTAAGCATTTTATGGAATATAGTTCCACTATATGCATTTTATGATGAGTGTATGGTGGTCTGAGATCATGTATAAAGTCGGTTCCCTTTATTGAGTCAAGATGGCATCTAATCTGTAAGAAAGCATGCTCAAACCACCCTGGGCATTGATCCTATACTAACTAGCCCTCCCCTCCATATCTATGTAAAGATCAAGGGGCATTAAAAGAGAGACTCCTTTGAACTTATTTAAATATTATGTAATAGTTTATATTGAATCAAAATTTATTCTATTCTATTCTCAGTGTTTGACCTAAATAATATAATATTATACATACACTGTGCAACTATATGTGATTTATTTTATGGGTATGTTCAGTAATTATTATTCAGTGATTATAATTTTAAAGCAGACACATTTGTTGCTAGTAAGAGTTGCCTACAGTTAACATAGTGTTTATTTGTATCAAAACCTATTATGCTATAAAAACAGGACCACAAAATAAATTTTAGGAAATTTCTTGCATCTATTTTTTTTATAAACCTAAAGTGACAAATGAACACAGAGGCCACCTGATAAGAAGTCGCTAATACAGCCCATTGGAATTTGCAAATAAAAGCCACAGATGCATTGTCACCTCTGAAGATTAAGATAGAATAGAATGCCTTTCAGACTATAATAATGCCATCAAAAACATAACTTGTAAAAAAACCAAGTCTCGCAACTCAGTTCTTCTACCATAAAAAGTTGTGAGATCCATGTAATACAAAGTCGGTTAATTTATTCAGTCCCTACTTAAGGGTCCTTCTATTTCAAGTTATTACGTAATTAGCTAACCTAACATTATCTTATAGTGACCATATCAATTTTTAATATTGTATGGTCTCTATAAGATGTTGTTAGAAGAACTAAGTTGCGAGATTTGGTTTTTTTACAAGTTATGTTTTTGATGGCATCTCATTTTTTTTAGATAGTTCTACTCTTTTTTTCTTTCCAGTACCATCTACTTCTTGAATACCAACTACGGATTTTCAGGCAATTTAGTCTACTTAATACTTTGCAGGATTTTGGTACTTCATAAGACATGTCCCATTCTTGCTTTTTCATTCCGTTGACCATTTTACAAGTTACCTTTAAACATAATTATATCTAGGTACCTATCTACATCTATTATTCCATTATATTATACATATACAGGTACACTGATTCATTCAAATGCAAATGTAACTTTGTAATCGTATATATTTATATAGGATTACAAAGTTATCTATGCAATTGATGTATCTAGAGAACTGGACCGAAATTACAAAATATTTTAATTTTCCCTTAATTTATATACTAAACACTATCTGTATTCTAAATTTCAATCTTCTAGATTTGCTAGAAGTACCTTAGAGTTTTGATGATCGGTCAGTCAGTGAGTGACAAAATTAAGAAACTTTGATTAGTTATAATTCTTAAACTACTGGTTCAAATGAAATGAAATTTGAAATATACCATGTTTATACAATGCATGCTTGGTTACTGAAAATTCAGGTTTCTAGTTTTATCCACAACGAAGTTATAGGGGGTCGAAAATCGCCTGAGCTGCTTCGACAAAAGGATGGTACGGCCGTGCCGCTTGACTTGGCGGGGGCACTTTCCGTGCCCCCAGATATTGCATTTTTATACATTTCACACAAGAACACAGCAATACACACACTAAAGGAGTTCCACCATCTAGCATATAATTTAATTGCTGACCTCTGTTTGTAAAAAAATTACTATAAATAATTAGCATATACATATACACTCATAGCCATATACGCCTATTATCCTCGGGAGGATAGGCAGAGTCCAAGGTGCAGCAAGATACTAAAAAACTAAGCTACTGCATCCTCCCAAGTTACATGATATATAATTTCTCCGTAATAATCTTAAAAAGTAATATTTTCTCGACAATTCAATAACTCACCTCATCCTTTTCTCGAATTCTGAAGAATGATCATTACCCATTTTATAAGGATAGCAGTCTTTTTGAAATTACTGTTTATGTACCTAGTTTTACTTTCCAATATTAAACGAACGTAGTTATAACATGTAACTTTTAAACTGAAAAAGTATACACAATGTAAAATCTGCACCAAACAACACTTTACTAAATTGTTCGTCCCCGTCACCAATCCAGGTATAAAAAAAAGGTAATAATAATACTGTACTATAAACTCAATAATTCCTGGCGGAGATTCTTGTGTGTCTATATTTAGTATTCTGGTACTGCGACTATTACTCAGTTTTTTTGTAGTCCGTAATGAAAATATATTAATCTCTTATCTTATTAACAGTTTGTACTTTGTAAGTAAACGTAGTGATTATATTCTCTTTGTTTGTAAGTACCTAAGTACAAAATGTACTTGAACTTCTAAACACTCACATGAACAGAGACAGAGTCGTTATCTATGCCTGGGGTATTTGGCTGTTTTACAGCAGTGCTACCATTGTTACGCTTGCGCTAGCACAACCATGCTATTGTATCTTCTAAGAAATTTCACTGATGGTTAAACTACCGCCATCTAGTCATTGATTTATTAAACACTTAATACTTTTTTATTTATAGCGGCTCCGTAATCTTGCATTTTTAGCTGCTTTAGGTAAATCAATCAAGATAGTGTGGCCGCCACAAAAAATCAAGCATTATTAGTAATAATTCTAATGATAGGTGTAAAGGAAATTGTAAAAAGGAAATCATGTGTTATTAAGCAAATTATTGTTATATGTTATTGCATATATTAACTACACTTAAAAATAAATATTGGTGTTACTAAACTTATTTATTTTTGACCATGAGGTTTATATTATACTCGTGACAATCTAAGAAGCCCGATTTGACAGCTATAAAAATACTTTGTGTATTGATGGGAAAAAAATTGGTTGCTTTAAAAACCAATTCTCGAGATATATCTATTATTTAAAGTTTGTAATGGACAATGTATGTACATAGTTTAAAATTGATTTTCAGGGCATATCGTTTTAATACATGATCGAGTGTGTAATATTTAACAGTTATTACATAAATCCAAACTAAGTTTATATTTGGGCTAGTTTCAAAGCCAAGACATAAACTAAAACCCGACATACTGATTTCTTCCGGAAGGTCTACGTATATCAGTGGCGTGCCTGCATAATATACATTGTATATTATGCAGGCACGCCACTGATATGCACTCGCACGAAGTCGAGGCGGGTCGCTAGTCAAGAATAAAATAAACATTAAATAAGTGTAATTGGGTCAGTTAAATAAATAAATTCACTGAATTCGTAACATTTTTATTTATTTTCGTCTCTGGAAGCTTCAGAAAAATTATCATCAGTTGAACTGTCTTCATCGATTAACCTTATAATAAATTCACTTTCAATCAAATTGTCAAAATGTACGTCTCTTCTAAAGTTTTCCGTTATAATTTTCTTTGTCCTTTCTACTTAAATTGACCCAATCATCTTTTGTGACATGTAAACATGCTTCCTTAAGAAAACCAAGCGTTTTTTTTGTGGTGAATTAAGGTTTCGTATTTTGACGTGCACCATAGCCTGTAAAAGATTTAAAGTTATAGTAACTACATTCTTTATTCTCTCGTGCAGTCAAACGGCTGGATAGGTTCTAATAAATATGCCATTCAATTAACTATAAAAATAGGACAGCAGTCAGCCGCTCTATTAGGCGAAATATATCTACTAATATTATAATGTTCCTGGATAATTTTTTTATAAACGTATATAAAATATATATTTATAAAACGTATGCAATCGTTCCTTTTAGATTAAAATATTTAAATACTAACCTTGAACTTGAGCCCAAATCATCTCTATAGCATTGTATTGACGATGGTATGGTGGGGTCCTTATAATTTTATGCCCATGTTCCTGTGCAAACTCTTCGATGGCGTATTTTGGCCTCACAGGTTTCTTTTGTTTGACTAACAAACAAAATAAACCAGTGAGGCCAAAATAACTAATTTGAACAGTTCTGCTTTCAATAAATTCAAGTCAGCATCCACACCATGATTTTGTAGCCCTGTGTGTAGTGTGTGCAATTCATTATCTTCAGCCAGGAGGCCCGTACTTTTCCTTTGTAATATTTCGGATTGTTTTTATGCCAATTCCAAGCGTTTTTTTTTCCAAGCATAACTTCTAAAAGAGGCCCTCTATTTGCTGATTCGTTCAAAGTACTCGTGCAACTTCAAAACCAAGTCACGAGACTGGCTGTTAAGAGTACGTCCTCTTTTGTACATGTTGTCTAGTTCACATGATAACACCAAAATCACGTAATGCGTAATCAAAGTCCTGAACTAGCAAGATAAGGTCAACGAGTATAGCAGAAACAGTCCAAGAGTGATAGCTGAGTCAGAAAATATAATAATAACCAATAACACAAAAATTTCCAAGATAGCGACAGACCGCGCAAAGCATTGATGAATCAATGAGCTAGAAGGAAAAAAATGGATGTTAAAATACATTTTTTCAATATCAAATGATGAACTCAGGCTTTTTTAGCCAAACTATTTCCAATATTAACATATTAAATATCAAAATAAAGCTAGAAATATATGGTCAGATATGTGGTCAGATTTTGTTTTTATATGTTTAAACATTAAATAATAAATTTCTTTCTTTTCTAAATGTAAAGTATCGATTTTTTAGAACATCGATTTTATTTGGCCCAAAAACGATTTATAACGGTCACAACACTACGGCAACGAATCCAAAAACACGTCATTGTAATAACGTTCTGTCGGAATATTAATCAACGATTAATTGGTGTTTTGAGTGCATATTTCCAATATAAAGCGAAACTTGGTGCTTACGAATGATACTTATTGTTATACTATATGGATAACATAGTCCATTTAAGATTGTGAATTTGATTTTTCGACTTCTTACATAGACGTTCATACAAAGTTATCAGGACAAGTATAACGATAAACGTTTCTCGTTATTCGTACTTCTATATTCGTGACAATCTAAGAATAGATTGTCACGAATATAGAAGTAGTAATAGTAAGAAATAGACGTTTTAACTTCGTTTCATTAGGCAACACTGAATGAAATTTAAAAAAAATTATAAGAAATATGTCCGTCGTCTTGTGCATGTGTTTATTTCGTGTGATTTAATATTTTTGAGTGTTTTATCGCTATTGTTTATGTATTTGCGTCGAGTTATGTATTTGCGTCAAGAATGTGCTTTAAGGTAGACTTTGTAATTGGTGCAGTAACATAAATATAAAAAGAGTTATAAAATAATATGTTAATTTCAACTCTTTAATTTTTATGATGGTTTGTAGTTAGTTACTTTACATATGTGCAGACAACATGGAACTTTATAACATCTCACGTTTGTTAGAATTTTATTTTCAACATATCATTTAAAATTGTGAAATAAAAATAAAAATGTTAACAATACGAAAAATCTTTCTTTTTGTCCCGCATTTTATCGAGAGTATCTATGCAGATTTCTAAATAACAGTTTTTTTATTGTTATTTAGAAATCGACAAAATACTTAATAAAAATAACAATATTATAGTAGTATGTATACAGAACAGGTATATATATAATATCTGTAGTTATGTATAGTTGCAGTAGTAGTTAATAAACTAGCTTCCAGGCGGCGCTGTTGTCGCAGCAATTTTTTACGTTAGAGATTCTTATCTATTTCAGTATATACACTCTTATCTATGAGCACAACTTTATAATTTGTGGCTAGGATTTTTTATTTGTGACGCACTTCTTATCATAGACTAATATATAATAATGGATAATTGGATATTAGTTTGTGGTTTGTGATTGTGACCATTGTCTTCTTTTCAAATTCCCCTCCGCAATAAGCATAATTACCATAGATAGAGGAATAATTCGTTATAGGCACAAACTATAATATATATAATAAGAAGTGCTAGCGCAGTTATAGGTCTCAAGTTGTCATCTGCCTCAGGGAATATTGCTATAAATATGAAAATCTTTTCAATATGACTAATATTAATAATTCGAATAATACATATAATTATGACATAAACAAATTAATAAAAATGGCAAATAATACAATTAATTTATATCCAACAGATATTAAAATATTTAAAATAATCAATAACCTAAATAGCATAAAATCAGTAGGATAAAAAAGTAAAAATTCATTTTAAACTTTAAATATACCCGCATCCAAGTTGTAACGTCTGAACCTCTGTATTTTTTTATCAGGTTTTACGGCTCTGGGTTCTAGCCCTCCTGAGCCTGAAGTTACAATGTATAATTATCTTTCATAGTACACTGCTCCACAATATGTTGATGCGTCACATTGTGCAGCCCTTGGGAGATTGGGACGGCAACTTGAGCCAGCAGACAGCTGACAGTTAGCGATGGTATCTCAGGGCGCCTAAGCAGACCGACACCTTATCTTGAGAATCAGATCACCATCAGAGCACTTGTTTCACCGTTTCCACTAATAGTTCACATGCGCTGACACTTAATACACAAAATCGCGCTACTTTTATGTATTAAATTCTACTTCAAACCATTGCCGTAAAATGGGGTGAATATACACAACTTTCAACTTCTGCACTGTTTTTCTTTCATAATATATTGTATATAAGCTAATAATAAAACACTTAATGTTGTGAGTCTTGTTGTAGTTTAGCGAATACTAATGCTTCAAACGAGTAAAACATTCAATTTCGTTGTATTTTAGAAAAAAATAGTCTATTTCTATATACCGGGAATCCGGGTTCAATAGATACGACATAGGGGTGAAAAGAGAAAAAATGCTAGGGTTGTGAAATTTGGTTTTGTTGTAGTATGTATGTTGTGGGCTTGTGAGTCAAATGAAAGAAAACTACATCAAAATTGTCATTATAAAAAATAATTAGTTAATAAATCTGATATTTATACAATTCTATATTATATAACTTAAAAATATCAGAGTAATATAATTTAACTGCTTTGCAGCGTAAGCATTTCCGACATAATCATTAGATAAATAAGCCACTGTTTACATAGTTTTCAACGTATTTAATTTTTTAAATAATAAAATAAAAAATTTTGCAAAGTTTGTTAAACTATTTAACACTAATAATTATACTACGTGTTTTGATTATTAAAACCTTTGATTATTTAAAGTTGTAGGTAACAAGACGAGATCAAAAATCACTATTACTTATTTATACAATTATGTAAGCACTAAACATAAAAATCAATAAGGACTAGTAATTTTCTGCTCACCAGATGTCGCTAGTTGACACTGAGGTAAAGTTTTTTGTTACACAATGTAATTTAATTGAGAAGTTGTTTTTTAATAAAAGTTTATCAGTTTCTAGAGTATTATATTAATACACAAAACAATGCGTCAGTGGTTTGCTCTTTCATTTTTTGCACATTTTTAACTTTTTTTCATTTTTCTACTTTCATGAATATCCGTGGTTTATTTTTTTTAATTTTTAATGTTATAAATATAAAATATAGCTAACAGTACAC